TTACATTTTGCACAGCATCCCAACTTTTTTGGAAACGGAGTTGTACATCATACATCAATAACACCTCAACATTCTACCAATTTGGACAGCTGTACCTATAAATTGAACCACTTGGCTCCACGCACAACATCTATGGTGTGTCTAATGTAATTAATGCACCATGTGCAATGTATGCACCCTAATCTTTGCTATCAACTACCAAGCTCAAGTACATCCCATGCTGCCATTCTTTGCAATTAAGAAAGGAGACTGAAAAGGACAGATCACCTCTATGATAAAACCCTATTATGTCTTAATATGACTCTTTATTTCCTCATGCTGTCTAGCAGATGTCTTCCTATGTTACATGGTAACAGGGACACTATAAGTAACCTGGTTCTTACCCTGGAGTACAGTACAGTGCCTCAGAATCAGTATTTCACTTTGAAAACACATGACCTTATGTACTAATCAATTGATCAACTTACTTTTCATTGCACTTGTAAAAACTGTAAACTGTTACTTAGTTACCTGGGGTCCTTCCATTAGCTATGCTTTACTGTAATAAAGAGATGACTAATGCATCATTAAGTAAAAACCAGAATTTCCTGAACGTCTGCTCATTAAAACATCACAGATGCACCATACATACAACAACCTCTGCCAGATGGAAGGAACCAAGGCTTCAATCTCAGTGGTTGAGCATACACTGATTACAGGTACAGTCAAGTGCCCATTAAAGACTGATACGAAGGCAGTGAAAACCAATAAATTACCCTGGGGTACCTTCTTCCAAGCTTAATGCTCCAACTATTGTAGAAGAGCCTGCAGAAGACCCTAAAACCCTCTGGCTAAAAGAAAATGCAAACCTTGACATATAAAGTTGAAACTGACTTGTTACTGAAAGCCAGTCTATCTGCTAAGGGTATCTGTCAATTTTTTACACTTCAGACGCTACCTTCCATCTTTAGTCATAATCAACAGTGAATATGGACCATGAGCAGCGACAATCAGTAGAACACGATAACTCAAATTAGCAGAAATCTAAAGGGATTCTCCTACGGCATCGTATCTTAATCACACCTGTATCTCACAAATCTCTGTTTTAAACACGATTCTTCATGGAATCAATGAATCATGAATTTCTTTGCGTTTTATAAATGAGTATGTATCAGTATGGGCATTAAAAGAAAATTCCCAGAATTCATATACTGGTGCATCCCTAACTCAAATCATTCTTCAGTTACATCTGTAGCTATATTATGAATTACATATTATTATATAACAAAATTGCTAGTTTGCTTAATTTAGCACAGTGGTCTTCAGGGTTTTCACAAGCCAACACATCATTCAAATATTGATTTATTGAACAGTAAAGGAGTATGCTAGCTACAGCCTTCCAGCTCTTTATAACCTAAAGGCTGTTGTTTAAAAGTCCTTCATAATAAAAATCTGAAAAACACAAAAATAAAAGGTTTCACTAACTGTAATAGTTGGTGTCTAGTTGGAGCGCAGTTAAATCTTTGATTGAGAAATATAAATCCTGTACTGCTTTCTCCAAATATTTCCTGACAGGATTATTCTAGAATACAAGAGTCTACAATCCTTTAATTCAGTGAAGGAGTACCTTGGGTCCCAAATCAATATCCCCAGGCAAGGCCAGCAGCCATTTTTCTCCCTCTACTATTTTCTCTCTTTGCAATGGAGCGGCCATCTTTCTTAAAGGGACAGTACAGCAATATACATATAGAAACAAAGTAAGCAACAATATAACCAACTTTGAGCTAGTCAGGAATATATGTAAACAGAAACAAAGAGCAAAAGGGCCCAGTAGTTTCTTGTGTCCCTCTTGAATTTTAGTAGAGGTGTCAATAAAGTCACACACTGCGCTCAGATCTGCTAAGATAATAACACTCTATCTCTTCTGTATCTCATCTCCTTTTCTTATGATATACCTCCTAAGGAAATTTATGAGAATAACTATTAGGAATTATTATTTTAATTTAGGCAAAAAATACATCATAATGACAAGAATAAGCCTAACTAACTAACTTATGCTGATAGATGCAGAGTGTGCTAAGAAGTTTCTATGCAGTTTAGTATGTCACTCAGTAGCAGTTTTGTATTTCCATTTAAGATGTATTTTGGAAAAACATTTTTCTTTTTATTTTAATCATTGAGTAGTTGGGCTGTCCTACTCCTATCACATTACCACATTATTAGTATAAAAATTTTCCCCTTTTCATTCTAAACAGATACAGAAAAGTATGTATTACTTTATGTAAATGTTTTTGAAAGCACTATGTTTTTGCTGCATCTTTCCACTGAAATATCGCCTTGCTCCAACTACTCAAATTCATTTATTCAGTTCTAACCTAAAAGCAGAACTCACCACCCATCTAGTTTGTTTCATAAATTACAGTGAAAATTTCTATGGTGACAACACCTTACAACACTCAAAAAATAACGAACAGGGACTCACAAACTGAAAAAAATGTTGATATTAAATAAATTAATTATGTTATTTTTGAGTAACTGGTTTAGGTAAAATGAACAAAAATTAAAGAAGGTGCATTTGAACGAATAAAAACTGCTTATTTTGATCCAAAGAGATCTCTATTCAAACAAAACTCAAATAAATTGCACTGAATTGTTTAAATTTTGTTTCATCAATAATACTTTATGTTGAAGTAACAAAGTGTCTATAGTGACTCTATTCTTTTTGACTGAAATTTGTGGCATAACTATAATTAAGTTTATACAACAATTTATTCTTTGTAAGTAGTGTCGTGGGGGCCATTGACTGTCCATGACTGTAGCTTTACCTATGACTTTCTGTACACTTAGTACTCTCCCATCAACTTTCATCTGTTAAGAGTGTGAGGATATCACAAATTGTGCATAGATCTGGGTCTAATGTAAAGAAGCAGCAAATGCACTGGCCTCTACGGATGAGCTACAGCTTCAAAGGAACTCGATTCACAGGAGCTACATTTCTTTTCCAACATTATCCACCTTTTGGAATGCCTCCTTCTGAGGACAGAAATGAAGCATGAAGAGCATCAAGATTGTTGTGGATTGCCTATGTTAGCTCTCAAATAGAGCAGCAACAATTTTGGTAAACTGGTTGGGCAGATGAAAATCACTACACTACACTCCTGTGTGTTAGCCGTAAGGCTTTCTGTAGGATGCTTCTTGTAGAAAATGTTTTTTGCAATTTAGTGAGTGACCAGGGTTGTCCACACATCGTCATGTAGTATGCATACAGAATTCATCTGGTGCAGATCAGTCTGGATTAGTACCTAATGACTGTAACCTACATATATGTTCTAAAATGCAGAGCAGCATAAGCTAGGAGCATTTCTGAACACTCTGTATGCCATATAAGTAACACAGCTCTCAACAGTACCTGACCTATCCATACTCCACCCACAAAGGTGCTCTTTCGTGCACACAACCCAATTTTGTTCCAAATAGTGTCCATTATTACTAATAAATGGCTTTATGAATTTATTTTGTATGCATGCAAAAAGTCACACTGCTAGGACGGATTTAGCTGTGGATATAGCTACAGATAGATATAGTGTAACATATAGTTTTTGTCATATAATTGAGTCAACATTAGCATGTCAAATTACTGTATATTTTTTATACTCTGTGCAATAATACCACTACCGCCTTGCATGTGAATCACAACACCACATATGCTCAACAACTCCGGTTGCTTCAAAGAGTCTACCATCCGGCCTGATAAAAATCTAGGCAACACTGACTTTGGTTTGGTAGCGCAGCACTTTAAGCTGTAAATTCAACCAACTTTATAGCGGTCTAGTGTGATTATTTCAGATGTTCAACTAAGAGCTAGAATTCATTTTAAGTTTCAATGTTCTTTCAAGCTTCTCCAATCTTGCAACAGCTGACATGAAACAGTGCATTTGTGAGTGGAGCATGGTTGGGGAAACTGAGGAGTCAGACTCATATTATTTCATTTGCTCTTTGATAACAAGACTCAGTATTACATTTGGAGAACCAGCTGTAGTCTAATTCATTGAGGTAATATTCTAGATGAAGCCCACAAAAGAGCTGCTATAAAATGCCAAAATCCCACCACTCTACACGGAGGTGTTTTCTCAGGTCAGTGCATTCATTTGGACACAGGTACAGCTATGCTAATTCGGTTCGCTCCAGACGGGATTTGGAGGAGGCAAAAGCCAATGCAATGAGTCCCAGCTGCTCGGGGTGGATACAGGCCTCTTGTTTCAGCGCTGAGGCGTCAGCTCTTTGACAGTTTGGCATGCCCAGGCCAGGCCAGACCCTCTCTCTCTCTCTCACACACACACACACACACACACACACACACACACACACACACACACACACAATGCCGGGATGTGAACGTTGCCGTAAACCAAAGTGACAACGAGCGGAGCTGCGAGCACACTGCTGTGTGATGGAGACGCTGGGACCCATCAGGCATCAGAGAGTGCAAAGAGCGAAGCTGACACCTCAAAAAGGGCCCAGAGTACACACACACACACACCATCTGAGGACTCAAATCAATCCACTCATTTGCATCCAAGGCTCGGGTGCTGGTGATCTGACTGACAGGTCGTGATGGTTGGCTGCCATCCCCTCCTCCACTGCAGACTGAATTCTGTCAAAAGCCTTGAAACCTTATCCCAGCTTCTATTCAATTTAAGCTTTAAGGGGAAACTATTAATCAATAAGATAAACCTAAAGTCAAGTTAGTAAGATGCAACTTTTTTGTAGTAGTAAGAAAGTTGATTTAAACATTAACCTGGTTAAATCCAAGTAGCCTTGAAAATATCCCCCCAAATTATGCATGTATATATGCATTTCAAAATATGTATCTTTAAATATATTTTAACACTTATAATACACCACAACCAAACAACAGAGCTTACCAAAGACATAAAAACCTTATGAATTAAGAAAGTGTAATATAATGTAATATAATATAATATACATAATATCAAGCATAACGTCATGTTAATAGTCATATTACATGGTCATACAATGCCATATAAAAAATAGGTGCAATAGGTGTAAGCAATATTCCTCACTTGCATTCATTTCCTTCTGGCAGAAGCACACTTTAAAATGTCCTTTGACTGACGTGCAGCATTCCAACAGCATGAAAATGGACAGCAGGATCGAGTGCAAATGTACAGTGCGGCCCACACTGTAGATGAAAAGTGGCGTATGCGGCCATTCAGCGTCCCCTAACTCTCTGCTATGCAAGGTCAGCCAATCAATAACTCAAGTTCATGTAGACTAGAGGTGACCAATGACTATGCATTCTGGGGGAAAGAACATAAACACACACTGACAGTCACACATACAGCATTTCATTTTTATATTTTTAGGTAAAGAAGCTGAAGTAGGCTAAAGAGAGTAAACAAAATGGATTGAAATGGGGGGGGGGCAATATGACATAATGCTATGTCAAAAGTATATTAATTATCATCATCATGACTTCCAGAACACTGAACAAATGCATTTATCACAAAAAGACTTAGATTTAGAGCCTGTAAGCAACAACAACAGCAAATGCATGATTACTACATAACATGCACAGAAACAAGAAGCAGATTCTTTTGTTTGTTTTTTTTTTCTTTTGTTCTTTCTCAAAGGAGAAAAATCAAGTTTATACAATTTTCCCCTTACATTAAATGTAGACAATTAAATGTAGATATGTTTGGTGTCTGAAGTTTGCTTTTTCAGCTATGACCCTCAACATGTCTTGGCTGACTGACCACACATCAAACTCTCAATTTAAAACAAAAATTACTCAGTTTTTTTCAGCACTTTAAAATGTAGCAGTACTGTTTTGCTGGTGCGTTTCGTCTGTTCCAACTTGTTTGTAAGCCTCTAAAAAATGAATATCGTGTAATATACCTTGTATCCAGATATTATATTTTGCCATGTGCCTCACCCTTAAACAGAAATCCTCATTCTGTTTTGTTGACAATAGTCATAATCATTCTTACATAGCGCTTAAGGTCAATGCTACAAAACACAACCAAAACGTCAATAAAAAAAAAGTTGGATACGAGGCAGTGTTACGTGACATCGGCGGACTCCGTGCATTAAAGAGCCTCAGCTGTGCAAGCCTGCGTGGCTCCCACTGCAGTCCTTTTTTAAGCTGTGCATACAAATGACAGATTCTCCCGCCATGTAAATAAATTATTAAATGTAATCCCTACGATCCCTCTTATTCTGAAAGCACACAGCTACCCCGCCACCCCCCACCACACGCACACGCACAAAATCCCACCCCCCAACCTGCCACACAAGGCCAGTGTTTCACGGGTTCTCCAGAGACCCGCTCTCCGATAACGCCTCGACATAAATTCTATCCCCCGATTAGTATTCCACTCAGCTGGCGGGATGAAAACCGACGCAGCAGCTCGAGAGGTGCGCGAAAGCACACAAGTCATATATCAATGACAGCCTTCTAAGTACAGGATTGATTACAAAAAGTTAGCTTTATTTAAAAACAGATTAGGCGTATTTTTTTCTCTTTTTTTCTTGCAGCGTAAGCCAGAAAGTGCTGAGGAGTTTGTGGTTGTGTCATGTATTTTTTTTCCTCTCATTAGTCAGAGGTACACATGTGGGTGTGCGTGCATACATTGTGTGTTTGCAAGAAAGCCTACTTCAGTTTTGCTATAAGTAGACCTGCCTTTATTGTCATCACTTATCTTCACAGATGAGTTTTTCTTGGTGGCGTTACACATATCCATCAATTCAGAACCTCTCCAACACGGGGTATATATAAAAACAAGTAAAGATGAAATAAAAAAAGACAACAGATACCGTCATGCTATGTAGCAGGCCATGATATGAGACCTTTATAGAGGCATATGTGGAGCATCCTTCGTGTAGTGTATTAAAGGGAAAAACAGAATTTTCCTTCCTTTTTTGAAACTACTTTGACATAGTATGTAAACACAAAGTTTTAAAATGTTCCACTCACTCCCCAGTCTAAACAATCTGTATACTGAACTAAGCTGCAAAAAGAGCTCATTTTGAATTCACTATTTTTGTGAGGTCACAGCACATTTACATATATCTGCTCATTCAACATATAGCAGTTTAGCCCTGCCCATTCTTGCTTAAGTTATAAAGAGTGTTTCAGCATGGCCCACTTTTGAATGAAGCACAATATAGGGCAGCCAATCAGAACAGAGGTCATTTACATATAAGTCTTAAAGGCACAGTGACAAAAACAGCCTGTTTAATTCACTTTTTAAGTCATGTAAAAATGAATTAGGACTGTTTTGGGTACATAACTTTGCATAAACATTATAAGTGGATGTGGAAGAGAATAAACTACAAGAAAAATGTAGGATAAGCAAGTGGTGTATGCTTTGCTACATTCACAGAATATAGCTCTAGGGGCTTGCTTTAGATGTTGCTGTAGTGAAAAAACATCTCACATAGACATGTATCATACATCAGGGCAATAGCTTGAATCTGAAACACAGTACATGCACAGCATTCTGAGCCAAGATTGCTACTGTCTTACAGTACACTTACATTCATCTGAGAAGGATTAGAACATTGTCAAATGAATACTTAAGATGGATGGAGTTCGTGGACTGTGAACAGTTTTCAGAGCATATATGTAGAACACACCACCTACAGAATCACATACATTCTGATCTGTTCCTAAAACAGATTTTTTCCCTGTTCTATTTTTTTCATAAGAATACACGATTGTGGCCCCTCTGATTTCATAGCCACCCAGCTAGCTGAAGCCACATAGTCAGACATTATATATGAGACTCTCAAGGCGGAGGAGAGGAAAAAAGAGGGAGGGGGAGAAAGAGAGAGAGAAGGGAGGGCTTATGCTCAGGTAGCCAGAAAGCAGTGAGCAGTGAAGGAAGATAGTAAAAAGAGAGGAGGGTGTAGCGAAAGAGAGAGAGAGAGAGAGGAGAGTGTTCATGCATTAAGAAGCTGGATTTTCTTGTCAGAGAGATGGAAGCGGGGATTAAGTTATGGCACAGTTCAGACAGAGAGGAATTGGAATCTGATGAAATTAGTCAGGGGGAAGAAAAAAAAGATGACTCTGCAAACAAATGAAAGACACAAATAATATCAAACATAATGACTAAAAAAGACGGATCACCCCCTAATGCAAAGGAACGATTCCGATGCGATACAAAGCGGCGTTGGGAAATTAATATCAGCGGGCATTAGTTTAGCTCAAAACATGACCCCCGGACTAAATCCCTCCCTCCAGACAGACAGACAGACACATTTTAAAATAACCCTTGTTTCAGTCCCTCTCTACTGCTGGGTCTCCTGCTGTGCTGTTTTAATAGGGAAAATTAGCCAAGCAGAAAGGTGGATCCTGTTTGCTATGCTTGACTGTGCACTCTCTGTTAGAGCTGGGAGAGCAAGCCAAGCTTCTCTCTCTTTCTCTCTCTCTCCTTCTCCCTGTCTCTCTCTCTCCCTCTCCCCAGCTGAGCTCCAGCTCCCAGCTGCTGCCCTGTGCCACCAACACCCACCAACCCAAAACAAACGCACACACAGACACAAAAATACAAACGCAAGCACGTTATGGCTGCATGATAGGGACAAAGTACCAGTATTGTGACTATATTGCGGCATATTGTGATAGCAATATGCCTTGCAACATATTAAAAATGCATTTGTGAATCAAAAATATAACATTGTTAAAGATCATCCTGCATTATTGTGACTAAAAATAACTTACTTTTGCACAAATACAAAATGATAAAATTAGGTATAATTTTCTAATTTTCTAATTCTAATTTTATCTAGACACTTTTAAATACACAAGGCTTGAAATCTGTCTACAGCATGTAGGATTAAACATAAAGAGAGGACAACAGACAATCATTGCTGAACTGCACACCCACTTGAAGGAATCATGTTGCAAACAACAACATTGCTGAGATATGGTACAGGAAGACCGTGAGAACAGGCAAGCCTCAGAGCAAAAATGGAAATGAAGCTGTAAGGCCTGGTTTTAAAATGTAACAACAATTATCAAAATGGAAAGGGAATCTTCACAGACAATCACAGGAAGGGAAAACAGGCTGATACAGGCTGATATTTGTTTTATAAATAAAAATAATGCGTGGCCACAATTTAGTAAGGAGTGGGAGCAAGATAATTAAGTTGTGGCCATGACTTCATAAGGCATGAGAACGAGATCCTAATGCATGGCCGCGACTTTGTAGCGTGTAAAAATCATGTGTCCTTAGCTGCAACACACACTACCAAGTTCCAAACTGCCTCTGGAAGCAACGTTAGCACAAGAGGTGTTTCATGGAATACATCAGAGAGATAACTATATCTAATGCCAAGCTAATGAATAAGTCTTCAACGCTGAATGCATAGTGCCAAACAAAAAGTTTGGCTGAGGAGGAATAATGGCCTGGGGTGGTTTTTCTTGGTTTTGTTCCAGTGAAGGGGAATCTTATTGCTACAGCATATAATGACACTGAATAACTTTAGGATGAATTGGAACACTGACTGCAAATCAAGCCTTATTGCCAAACATCAGCAACCAATGTCACTAATGCTCTTGTGGCTGAATGGAAGTAAATTTCTGCAGTCTTGTCTAGTGGCAGTCTTGTCTAGAGGGGATCAGCTTCATATCAATGTCCATGGTTTGGAAGTGAGATGTTCATAAAATATGCATGGAATAGATGTTCAGGTATCCACATACTTTATACTTATATATATATATGTACTACTTCTGTATCGCTGCTGTCAGAACAAAACCTTGCATCTCCATTTTTGTCATTTTTCAGTTTTTGACATTATTTGAAAATACCTGTTATCCGTTTCATTATGTGTAGATTTCATGATGAATGAACCAAAAGAAATGACCCAAAATTACTGGGGAAAAAAGTCTGGTTCCATTGACTTGCATTAAAAGTAAAGTATGTTTTTTCCTTCTCCTGTAAAGTTAGCATTTTGGAGATACAATGTTTTTTTCCGACAATAGCGGCACTGGGTGGCAATGTTTGCCCTGTACTTGCTAGATGAGGACGGTTTAGTTTAGTATTTGGTTTTAATAAATACTCACTGTAATTCCAAACTCATCTTGTTTCCTTCAGATGAGTTTTGGCATTACTGCAAAGATAAATGAACACAACAGTAGACTATGCTCAACTAGGTTGCCATTTCTATCTCATGGGTATTTAAAGATTGACAGAAGGAATCCAGATCTATCCTGTCCTTAATGCACTGAAAACAAAGCAATCATTTTATCACTAATATTAGTTTTAGTTGGTTTTGCAATGTAGTTTAAAACTGCCATTTTAATTTTTAAAAGTTAAAAGAAACATTTTTTCACTGCTAATTTGGTTATAGTTTTCATCAACAAAAATAACCCTGATGCACACATGCCCAAACCTTCATCTTCACACTGTTTGCGATACACATATACGCGGACAGCCCTCCCAAGTGCCACATTTAGTTCCATTTTAACAAATTCTAACAAGAAAATATTTCATTGTTATAAATAAACATAACACAGAGTGTCATTGATGCAAATCATCCCTCTTTTTCCCAAAACCTTCATTTTAAAAGAAGCCTTTGTTTTCACTCGATTTTTATAGTTAAAATAGTGACAATTTCTGCTTGGGGTTCTCCATGTTACCTGATTGCTTATTCAATGTCTTATTCAAATACCTGATAAAGTAAACAAATGCTATGAGTTACGATATCCACATATTCTTCTAATGTTGCCCCACCCATCACCCCGAAGTGCCCCCAAAGGTATGTTTCAGAGCTGTGGGAAATGCTTCATTTATCAAACCCTCTGACTATTGATACAGCTTTGCTATTTCCACATTTATTCTCTCTCTAAGGTTTTTAAATTCTATTGCCTAGTTAATAACTTACATTATCGCTCTACCCATAACATACATTGCCCAAACCCCATACATCAATTTAAATACCTTGCTCAGTTTGTTGAGCAGTACACAACACTGCCCCTGCCTTATTCACTCATATACACAAGCACTTTATTTCCTGCACTTCTCTCTAACACTGATGGCTGCCATAAGAGAAACCAAGAAAAGCAGAAGGATTTGGCACATCTTTAAATGCAGTGAGCTATGCGAAACAACCTAAAAACGCAATGAAAGCGCGCCCGCTCATATCAATCAGATCCCTAAATGACAGTAATTCATATTGTACAGCAGATGAGAGGAAGACGCAGGCCCTATTTGTTACCAGCGAGATTATCTTGCCACACAATACTTTGCTCACTCCGCAGCACCTGATTGCGGAAAAGGCTGGAAGCGCATGCGAGACTCTGTTATTGGCCGATAACAAATTGAATTTTAATCTCGGTGCCCCGTAGCCTTGCATCGCATTTGCGGGCAGGAATTGTAATTGATATTGTGGCACCGAGGGGATTTTTCCGACCGGCGGGATGGCTGTGCAGGGGCTGTGGAGCACAAGCTCCTTCTCCATCTTCCCTTTTCCCTCTCCACTCCTGCTCACTCACAAAAACACTGCTTAGCAAACACACACAAACATTGGTACTATCTTTGTGGGGATTTCCACTGAGTGGTGTAACACTAGCTGAATAATGTGCCAGCACCTAAACTGAACCTTAACCTCGGTAACTAAAAGGAAATCTGCCGGCTCATTTTAGTTTTTGGAGAAAAAAATATTTTAATTTCATGTGAGGACCAGCCGAACATTCAAATATCCTCACTTCTACAAAATGTATGTTTTCCTTTCATTATAAGGATATCTTGTCCTCACAAAGGCCTAAATACTAACACATGGATATACAGTCACACTCTCTCTCACACACTCTCTCTATCTGGTCATCTCTGCATGCTAATTTTCCGCTGACTTGCTTTTTCCGAGAACATCCAGGTCACTCATACTCAACTTAAAATGAGAGAGAGAGAGAGAGAGAGAGAGAGAGAGAGAGAAAGCGGCCTGTACTTTTCCCTCAGCCATCTGATGTAGTGTTTTTTAGCTGAACAACCCTTCCCTTTGAGCCTGGGCCCTTCCTGTGGGGTTCCTGAGAGAGTTCTGAGGCAGCCCTATCGGATGTGAGTTACAGGGGCGGCTTCCTGTATTATTCTAGCCCTTTGACTGGTTATCTGGCTGCTGTCACTTACTGCTCCTAGCAGCCCTGATACCCCCCCACCCACCCTTCAGCCAATTGACAAACGCACACAAAGACGGCTTCAAATCCCTCAATCTGCTCCCTGCTCCCCAATTAACCGAAGCCCAACGCACCCCTCAACCCACCACCCAGTGCAGAGCACCGAAACCCCCCCTCCCGTTTATCAGGAAATTGATTTGCAGGGCTGAATGGAGGTATGATTTTTTGGTGACGAGCGCCGGGCCTGAATGGCACAGGGGAGCCCGGGCCCAGGGATGTGTCGGAGGGGGTGAAAAGCGCCTTTGTTCTGGACGCCCTTGAGCCCGAGACAGCTGACATCTTCAGCACCCCAGCTCCACACAATCTCCCTTTTCACCACACTCCCTCCTTTTTCTCACAGCCAGAGAGAAAGAGAGAGAGAGTGAGAGAGAGAGGGAGAAAGAGAGACAGAAAGAGAAACAGAGGGAGAGAGAGAGGGGAGAGTGAGAGAGAGGGAATGAGGAATTGGAGTGAAAGAGATGAGAGTGAAGTGTGAGAGGAGGAAGAAGAAAAAAAGCAAGAGAGCAGACGTGATAGACTGAGAGAGAGAGAGAGAGAGAGAGAGAGAAAGAGCAGCAGCACCATCAGACAAATTACTCCTGGCAAATCCACGAAGGCCAGACATGCCTGCTGCAATACTGATCAAATAATGAAATCTGCAGATCTGGTGCTGCTACATTTTTCACACTGCTGCCTCTCATTAGCATTAGCGCATTAGCATCACCTATAGATCCAAGGCGGCTGGCTTTCGGGGATGCTGATCAACACAGGTTCAGGGCAGCCCGTGGTCCTATCCTGTACAGGTCCGGGTGGGGGGGGTGACTAATCTGGGATGAAGAGCACAGTGACAGATTAGCCACAGTAATGGGATTCCATTTTTCAACACATTTTCCAGTCATCTCTCAAAAGCCTCCTCATAGAGAGGCTGAACTATCATTATTCTTTGTGTACACAATGCGACACAGTAGGCAGACGGTGTAAAAATGTGTTTAGGTTAAAAAGACACATTTGCCTAGCTAGTTACGGTCATCTCTTAAAGCATTTTCACATTGCATGAAGCAGTATTTACATGACAGAAGGCAACCTTCCAGATGCAAGTCATATCTTTCAGAAATGGACCCAACCAGGGAAGTGATCAGTATAGTCAAAGGACGAATGGTGTAAAATCTTTTCTCATTGTGTGTGGGAAGAATTCCAGCATTTTTTTTCAGCCCCTTGTATTCTATGTCAATGATTGACACTTTCACTTCCCGTCGAGGTCTTTGCTGTACGGCTCACCAAGTACAAACTGCCAACATGCTCTGCTCAAAGAAAATGAATTGCTTGCATTAGAATATAAAGATAAATCACACAGGTTTATATATAGCAACTATTGATCCATGCTGATTACAAATACAGCACTGAGATGGTAAGTACGGCAGGCCAGTCTCTTACCACACAGGAGACTGAAGTGTAAGCAGGCAGCCGCTCGCTGTAGCTGCTGCAGTGTGTGTGTGTGCATGTGTGTGTGTGTTTGCATTGTGCTGCATCCATGACAACAGGGTCAGAGTCTGGCTTTAAAGCTATTATGCTAAGAGACCCCGAGCAGAATACTAATGTGCAAGTCCCGTGGGGGAATCAAGGGAAAGGATCAGTTATTCAGCGAACTGTGACCAGCAGGGCAGGGAGCACCAAAACCCAGCCAGCAATGGACCACAAGAGACACAGGCTTCGACCCACTCGCAGAATAAACCCAAACTGCCCATTGTCAGCCAGTGAATTCAGCTCTCTAACTTCAGAACTCGGAGAAAGGAATCGCAGTTTAGAGGAATGAGTCAAAGCTGTGCGGAGCTGTTTGCCTCTCCTTTCTGAAGCTGTGATATGGTGTTGTTTATGGACAAACATGTAAAAAACATGGACAAAATACTTAAAATACAAAGTCTAATCAAAATGTTCACATACAATATATTTCACCCATTTTCTTCTATATTAAAATGTTAAATGGATTAACTATTACTAGAGTTGATATTCCTGGAGAAATATCACTTAAGACATGACATTCCTTAAGTATTGTTTAAAAAGAAGGTTTTTGTACTGCCGGTCAGATCGACCCTCAACCTGAACGTGTGGATGTTCTAAAAAGGACACAGTGTGACAGTGTGCCGTTGCCTGGGCACCGTGCCCAGAGGACTGGCATGAGGCCAGCACGTCTGTACCCTGTGCCCGCTGGCCTGGCACTATGCCCACACGGCTCCAAGAGTACCATACCTTAAAAATCAACCTCCCTCCGCCACCATGCGCCAACAGGCTGAGCTATAGCCGTCTGACACACTGCCTGAGCTAAAAAGAGATAAACTGCAGGTCGTTGCAACATCTCACTGATCTGTGACCAGTTTTACTGGTTATCCATGAAAGCTTAAAGCTGGGATTATACGTAGACGTGGAGAACAGGATTTCCAGCTTTTAGAAATGGTCCGACAGAGTAGCGATTGTTACAGATATTAGATCAGAGCCAATCATTTACTAACTGTGCAGCAATTACCACGTGTAGCAATCTCAGATAACTTACATGTGCTGAAATGGTCAGTGGGAGTTACACAGCTGACGAAACATACAAATATCTATCACCTGCATAGGTCTTCACAGATCTCTACCACAGCACACCTTTGCACAGCATATGCATTCCAATCATAAGACAAGAAGTACAATACCGTAAGGTAGAATGTGAAAGCAATCAGAAAAACGAATTTACCAATGACTGATGCTAAAGCTAGATAATATTTAAAACCCAATTTCCATGCAAAAAGGTTTATTTTAACTAAGTTAGGTAGTTACTTAGGTAGTCAGCAAAATCTATCATTTTATCTCAGTAAAAAAGAGCGGGGCAAGATGAGGTAGGGCTACGTTGACCCACCCCTTGTATCCAGGCAACTGTGAACAAATATGTGACCACATTCAAGAAGCACCCATCATTTCTGTCAAGCTATGATGGACTGAAGCATAAGGGAAAATATTTTTTTTTCTCACACATCAGGTAAAAGTATTACACCAAAGCAAATGGTCTAAAAATATACATCATTCTATTTGGTGATTTACTCACATACAAAAACAGTAATTATTAAGCTAAAGTTAAACCCTGAATTACAAAACTCTGCAATTTTTCCAAATAGATGGCTGAAGGACAAAATCTGTCAATGCTCTGTGGTTAGCTGAGCCACCCATGATGAACAGAACGTTGAATAATCTCACATGCTCAAGACTTTCCTAGGTGTGTTGGTTCGTGCAGTCCAATGACAGAAATAAATGTTCTGTTTAGAAAGTCTGAAATTATAAGAAATACTAAGGGAGGAAACAAATTGTTATTTTTCATTTAAATAACTGAATAATAAAAATAAAATAAAAATAATCTTTTTTATGTAATGCGACTGTAAATTAATAGCATTACGTAAGATGATATTCTATTTGAACATTTTTTATTCAGTTATATTTTTTATTCATTATTTTATTATTTTTTTTCTTGAAGCTATACTGGTGATATTCCTCATTAACATGATAACATTAAAACATGTTAAATATAAAATATTTTTGTAAATTTATATTTGTTAATAAAACAAGAATTATTATAACAAGAACAAAAAGAGTTATTTAAAAGTATTTGAAAAGAACTACATATTATTATAGAATATTATTGTTTAATAAAGAAGCAAATGATTTGTAGTTAATGTTAATTGATCTATTTCCCCCAGATGGCCCCCACTGACCGACTTGCCTCCATCAGCCACAGTTGTCACAAGAGCGAGATTTCTGGTTTAAAGACCAGGAAAATTCCCTTTCTGGTGAAATATCTTGAAGGTGCAAAGAACTTCAGAAAACTGATTCTACAACTGCTTTGCAGCTGGTTTTGGGGCGGGCAGGGTATTTGAATTAATTTCTTTTTTCTGATAGCGGGCAAATGCAGAAGGAAGCAAGAGTGCTAACATGACTACTAAAAAGCTGAATATCTTATTACAACCACACGCCTTTGATATGTGTCTTAAAACCATCAGTACAATGATGACAACTGATTATTTGAACGACAGAAATGACTAGTCCAGGGGTGGGCAACAAGCAGCTCTTTTACTGCCCTGCTGCGGCTCTGCAGCAGAATTAGATTCTTAGGTAAAAATAAAATAATACCTCTGCAGTAAAATAAAGCTCTGCGAATCATTCAAACAGTTTTAACAATAAATGGTCTTAAACGCTGAAGGTAATATAGCCTATATCTGCTAAACAACCTTTAACCCTGAAGGTTGCCGTGCAGACTGCTGGTCACCAGAGCAATGCAGACAACAATCTCGCCTTGCTAGCAGCTAATGAAATGGCAAAGAGAAAGATTTAAGACGAACATCGATAATTTGGAGACATACAGACTTATTTGCGTTTATAAGCACTCCATTTGGTTTCCTGATACATTTAATCTGCAATGAGAAACTGTCAAACACTAAAAAGCTGCAAAGCTGAAGTCAGCTTCACGTTCAAATTTTTCCGCTCCACCTTAAATGGTGTACCAGTTGGTAAAACATTTTGTGGCTCCCAAGGTGGTCTGATTTTTGTTGAAAGGACAAAATGGCTCTTCTTAACATTTGGGTTGCCGATTCCTGGGCTAGTAAAATGAGGACATCAGGCTGAAAGCTAAAGTTAGCAATGTAACCTCATAGCTAGTTACCTTACCTCAGTTGGTTTCTGCAATTGAGTTGAGCCTTTAATAAAGAAAAATCTTGTTTGACAATCAAGAGTTATAGTAATACTACCAAGTAGCAAGTTTCTCTTCGCTTACAAAAATTACATTGCATTGGAGCTATGCAGTTGGGTTAACAAGTCCAAGACAAGTGTCATCACCATCAGACAATTGGTTGGAAAAGACACGAGTTGATGGTAATGACAACTCCCTATTTGGCCATTTCTTATATAGTATATTACCATAATTAAATGTAATGTACTTGAATACTGCCTAAAATAAAGTCAAACGTGCCCCAATCGCCCATTTATTATCATTGCCGATTGTTATAGATGCATTTAAATTGATAAGAAACATGCTGAAATAAGGATGTGTGTAAAGATTTACTAAAATTTGGCTCATCTTACTTCATTCTGGGGTTCCAGATGTTGAGGAGACAGCGAGTCAGATGTCTAATGAAAATGATAACACATCTCGTCTTTTAAAAGATGATGTCCAGCGTGCAAACTGTAAGAATTTGCTTGAGGCAACAGTAAAAGTTAGGCTTTGTTGGGAATTGGAAGTCATGTCTTTCCTTACAACTTCATTTACATGAACAGAACAGAAACAAAAAAGAAATCTTTCTAAAAGTTTAGCTGGCTAAAGTCACTGAAGTCAAGTTCGCACAATCTGACTACTGTAACTGACAAGGCATCTCTAGTTAAGCTAACAAACCATCTGGTGGTTAGCTAGCATGTGGGTACAGGCTGCATTTGGTATATAGCAGGCTGTCAGTTTGCCGGAGGGACCTCTTTTAATTACTCAAAGACAAATTTTTCAACCTCTGTGAAGTACTGCAACTGTTCATGAACATTCACCTCAAAAACAAAAAAAAACAGCAGTCTTCAACAGCACCAACTGATTCACCTCTGATTGTAGGTCCTCACTCCTTCCCAGTTCTTCATGTATTTGCCACTGTAAGATAGTATTTCATTTGAAACCCAAAAGTTGCAGTAACTTTAAGTTTTATTTGTCAATTCCCTGACTTTGTCTTTTAAATAGTCCACACATTTACAGGGTTGTGTATGAAGTTCTCGTGTATTTCCTTTAACTCTACACTGAACCTCTAGCTGGCTACCCTAATTACATTCATGTGAACTGTAGCAGCACATGCTGCCACATAAGTTTGTTATTATCAATTTAACAGTAAGACAAGTGGCAGTGAAGGCAAAAGAATCTCAAACCGTTCGCTAACACAGTAGCTAGCTAGTTTAAGATGCTAACTTAAGCTGACGCTGATACTTATATTTAATCAATAACTGTAGCTACGTTTCTGAATTAATACTGTATCTAATGCTGCCAGCTTATTATCGACATATTACCATTTACCACAGAGCTGCTACAAGCTCGAACCCACTCTAGTCATGACCTTCTCTCTCTTCTCCCTCACTGCGACCCCTCTGCTGCTGCCGCAGTCTGTGAGGTGACGGTTAAAGTACCCAGCATGCAACATATTTTGGAAAAAAACGGATAAAGTACAGAAAGTGCTGAAAAGAAAACCAAATCAGACTGCACGAAAGAATAAACCATGACCAATGCTGGTAAAATATAGCTTTGGTCAATATATACTAAGTTAAAGTTATCACACCCCATCCTTGATGTCAATGCCACTGAAATTTACACTACTTTAAAATAAATTAATATTGTCTTGGCGCTGCCCCTGGACTTGGGCCAATTGGGAGAGCGAAGAGGAGCACGTAGAAAATTCCCAGAATGCCATGCACATTACTGCAGCCTTTATTT